CGCGAACGCCATGGCGGTGCGCGGAGGGAGGGAGGGAAAGAGAACGGCGAGGGGGGGGGGAGGGCGAGAAAGAGGAGCGCCCCGCCTGTAGGGTGATCCCCGCAGGCGGGGCGGCAGCGCCGGCGCCAGCGCCGGCGGGCGGCCCGCGCACTGCGCTGCTGCGGACGTTTGCGCGCTGTCCCTGTCGGCGGGCCAGGGCAGCTGAGGCTCGCCCAGGGCTGCCAGCAAGGGGCAGTTGAGAAGACGTGCCTGTACAAAAACTGTGGCCAAGGCCGCGGGGCCGTGCGCTGCCGGGGTGGACAGTGCGGGCCAAGACTAGGGACACCCAATCCGTGCGAAAAAATGACTGACTCGGCTGGGGCTGGGCGGGGCCGCTCGCCGCCGGGGTGGACAGCGTGCGGCCACGGTACCATGCCTGTCAAAACTGCGGCCGAGGCCGAGAGGCCGCGCGCTGCCAGGGTCGAAGGTGCGGGCCGCGCCAGAGGGCAGGCACCTCATCGGCGCGGGAGCTGTTGAACTGAAGCGGCCGAGGCCTGACGGAGCCGCACGCTGCCGGGCTGGACAGCACTCGGTCGCGGCGTCAACGGAAAGGGAAACAGAGCCGGGAGGGGACAGTGCGGGGAAAGATGCGACGCGCCGCCGAGGTGGTCGGAGCGTGGCGACTGGGTCTGCCGAGTGGCTCAGAGGGCGATGAGGACGCTGACGCGTTGGGCGCCTCGTATGGTCGAGTGTGCACTGCGGGCTGGGCGAGAGCGGCGAGCGCCTCATCCCACCGGGCAGCTTCTTCGGCGCTGAGGCCCCAACACGGGAGGGCTGGTTCCTCCCCGTCTCCCTCGACGTCAGGCTCCTCTGGCTCAGCCCCGGCCCCCTGGGGCTCGGGCCATATTTCTTCCGCCTCACCCTCGGTTAATTTGAGCTCCGCGCCCAGCGTGGGGCGGGGAGGTCCGTGGGCGGGGCAGGCCCCCACCGCTCCCCAGAGTTCCCAGGGGCCCCCCCGCAGGTCGCCGTTTGGGTGCCCCGCGAGTTCCCCCCGGGGGGGGGGGGGGCCCGTGTCTGCGCCATGGCAAAGGGTTCGGCAGAGCCTTGGCGCCATCGCGTCTGGTTTCCGCCTGTTGGGGCTGCCGCCTAGGGGGCCAGCTAGGCACTGGCATGGCCCTGGCGCAAGGGTCTCAGAGGCCTGGTAGGCCTGTCGTGTCGGGGCGGCGTTGTTGGGCCAGGTGGGGTCCGCGCGTCTCTTGCCTTTCCCGACCGTGTCGTGACCTTTCCATTTGCCATTGCCCTCGTCTCGCTGTTGCTCGTTGCGCCGCAACTGCCGTTCCCGGACGGCATCCCAATCCACGTGGACGCCTCGTGTTCTGCATACCATGCGGATGTCGAAGTCCTCATTAGAAAGCTGGAGCAGCAGGTCCTGGCAGAAGGTGTCGTGTCCGTATGGGTCGTAGGTACCTCGTCTTGGTCGGTTGTCCCTGGCATCGCAGATGGCGTTCCAGCCTTCGACGAAGATGGCACCGCAGTTCTTCTATAGCCTGTTGACGACCTCCGGCCAGGTCTCCCGGATGTTGGTCCTGTAGTTCCATGTGCGGTGCCAGTTGATTACCCGACGGGGTCGGATGTAGAGCGGATCCTGGGGGTCGTATATCAAGGATCGGGCTGCGGGGCTTTGTGCCGCGCAGGCGCCTGCCATGGCTTGCACATGCGATTGAACATACCATGATGCACTTCCCAAAGAATTGTTACATCCTCCTCCTCCACAGTTATACAATATGAGTACTTCTCCCCCCCCTAAAGGCATCCGGAAGATATCAGGCCCCCCTACGCGTACTGTTTTTTTTAACACGCAGGGTTCCCGGGAAATTGGTTTTCGCTTGGGCTTTGTTCTCTCAAAATGTTGTTCCCGCTGAAGCGCTGGCCTCATTTCCGCGTTTCCGCTCGTTCCGAATCGTGCTCCCGCTGCAGCCCTGGCCTCATTTCCTGGTTGTCATTTGTGTTTTTGGCAATCCGACTCTTTTCAGTCCTCAAAATGATGCTCCTGCTGCAGCCCTGGCCCCATTTCTGCGCCTCTGGTTGTTCCAAAACGCGCTCCCGCTGCAGCGCGGGCGTTTTCGGTTCTTCCAAATAAGCCCCAAATCTAGGAAATTACCCCCCGAAAAAAGCATCGCGAGTGATTACACATCCGGTGCCGATTCGTTGAATGTTTGGGCCTCGGGGCGGCGGCGTCGTTGGAGGAAGTAGCAAGCGGGAGCCCCGTTTCTGCTTTCAGAGGTCGATTTTGCAAGCAGAGCCAGCGGGTGCTTTCCATCAGCCCCGCCTTCTGGGGAGCTTTTCGCGGAGCCCAGGGAGCTAAGGATGGAGCCCCGACTCCAGACCAACCCAAACCCTTCGAAGACTATCCACTTAACTCTCCAAGGAACCCGGTGCCCTGCCATGACATGCTGTGCGGTGTTCTGCTCTGCGCCGCTGTGCGATGCCATGCTTTGCGTTGCAAAGCTTTGTGATGCAATGCTTCACTACGCAATGCCACGCCATGCTATGACATTATACGCCCTGCCGTGCTCTTCTACGCCATGCCACGCCGTGCTCTACGATGCATCGCGCACCCTCTCGCGATCATTGTCCTGGTTGACATCCGACTGTGCGAATAGAGCGGAGATCTACATCATGGTAAGGGATGGGAGGGAGGGGTAGGACGTCAGATATGACGCGACCACACCTAGCTTGTCCTGCTCCTCCTCCTCCTCCTTCTCCT